TCGCAACGCTGCCAGTTCTGTTAGCTCTACGCCTGCCGAGAGCTACTGTGCCACCACAGTAAAAAACTCCTGGAGGAAATTCTTAAGTAATAATTTTTAAACCTGTTCATTTTGGACTCTTTATAACCCAGGGAAACAGAAACAGATCAAGACCAAACGGCAATAGGTTTGAAATAAAGTGGAGGATGATTCTAATGGATACTGTGTCTTTCAGAGCACTACTCTCTGACAATCACTAATTTTCTGAAATGACTTCAATAACATGATTGACCTGAGAAGGACTCATAATCCTGCTTTTTTTTTCTCACCATAGTGTGGGATAATGGCCCAGGCCATGGCGGAGGCGTAGATCCCACCGATCATCCAGAACATGCAGAGCCAGCTCAGGTGCTCGCCACGCTTCTCTTGGGCGAGAAACTCCGAGTAATAAGAAAAGACGATGGGGATGGAGCCACCGATGCTGTAGAGTTACAGAAAGAGGCAGAAATACAGAGAAAGAGGTGATTAAAAGGCAAATTATGCTTTTTACAAAGTTACTAGCAGATAAAAAAAAAAACGGATTTAGAATTAAAAAGGAAACAGAGTTCAAAGGTGAATTTTTTACATTGTTATGCAGTAAAAGTGAAGGTTCAATTCATTTTATTTCTATAGCGCCAATTCACAACACATGTCATTTCAGGTCACTTTACAGTTCAACAAATAATACAGTAAAATTTATTAAAAGTTTTCTATCTAAGGAAAAACAGCTGATTGCATCGACTCATTGACTCGAATGCAATCTCTCACATTAAAAATGCTGAAATGGTTAAAAAACACTTTTTTACACCTTTTAAATTTCTTCTATTTTCTCACGCTTATTATTAACCATCTTTTAAATATGTATTATTTCGCTCTCGAACACGATCTCTCCTCTGCTCTGGAGCAGAAGGACGCAGCCTGTCAGTCGCTATGAGCAATCCCTGTTGAGGTTTGAGCCTCTGTGCATTGAAGAAGACAGCAAGAAAGCAGAGCCCTGATTGGACAAGCAAAAGTCCGCCTTTTCCAGTGGCTAAGCCTCTTACAGGATCCGTGGAGCAGGGGCGGGTCGTTACGCTGGCTGCTCGATGCTGATTGGCAGTGGCCAAACAAAGGGGAGGTT